CAGGCAATTGAGCGGCCCACTGTCAAGCCCAAGCCACTGAAGCTAGAGCCAATCACGGATGACACGTGGAAACTGGTATCAAACGAACCTCACAGAGTGAAGAAAGCCGTAATCTATGTGGGCAATTTGAACTCACATAGCAGTGAAGAAAGTGTCAAGGAATTCACTGAGCAACGCTCTGCAGCAGTAAACAAACCGGTGAAGGTTCACCAGTGCAGCATACACACCACAGAAGATGGGAAAGTGTCTGCCCGCTTGATGATCGATGCGACTGACCTTGAAATCGCCACTGCTCCAAACTTTTGGCCTCGCCCACTGTACGCGCGGGTTTGGCGCCACCGTGAGCGTCCGAAGGGGGACACCTTGTCCGGCTCACACAGTGACACTCTCAGTGATGCTCCAAAGGGGGACACCTTGTTCGGCTCACACAGTGACGCTCTCTCCGAGTCCTCCGACACTCAAGCTCAAAGCTCCAATTAGATCCTTTCGGATCCTGCTGACGAACACATTTGGACTACTGAGTAAACTTGGTGACTTTCACCATGCTGTACACGTTCACCAACCTGACATTGCCATTGTCACAGAGAGCAAGCTAACCCCTGAGAAGGCTACTGATTCCGAACTGTCCTTGCCTGGGTACTACTCCCCACTGCGGAAGGATCGAACAGCTCATGGAGGAGGAGTTGCGGTTTGGGTTAAAGCCAGTCTGGCCCTCCGAGAACTCGATGACATCCAGGTCGGTAATGAGGAGCTAATATGGCTGAGTGTCAGAACTGTGGATAAGAAGTCAGTGGCTGTGTGTGCTGCATATCGCTCTGGCTCCTGCCACGACAATGACATCAGTACCCTTGAAGCCATCAGTGCTGGCATAGACCTGGCCCGTAAATCTTGTCAATATGTGGTATTGGCTGGAGATTTTAACGTACACAACGTGGATTGGCTCGGCAGCACCAAGACAACTCATGCAGGTGTGTACACTGAAGACATGTGTGCTTTTCACTGCTTGGAGCAGCACGTGCATGAGCCCACCAGGGGCCTTAACCCACTCGACTTAATAATGACTGACCTACCGGGAGATGCGACCGTCAATACCTTAGCACCTCTGGGAAACTCTGACCATGCCTGTGTCCTAGCTGACTTTCATGTAAGCACAGCAGAGGAACCACCAGTGACCAGAACTGTCTGGCGTTACCAACGCGCAGACTGGGACAGACTCCGCCACTTCTTTAGAACAACAGATTGGCAGTCCACTGTCAGTGATGATCCTGATGCAATGTGTATGCACTTGACCCAGAATATTCTGGAAGGAATGCGCCGATACATACCGTCTAAGCAGTTGTGCATGAAACCATCTAACCCCTCTTGGTGGACACCGGAATGCACTGAGGCTGTAGCACAGAAACAAAGAGCATGGAGGAGACTCTGCGCCGACCGGTCAAGTGCCCAGCTGCAAGCCCGTTACAATGTCGCCAAGCACTCGGCTAACCATTGCCTGGCAACTGCCAAGCAGGCATTCACAGCAAGCCTGGCGCAGAAGTTAGCCTCTGGGTGTATGGCGTCTGGTGAATGGTGGCGAACCATCAAGAAGGCCTCTGGCCACGGAAACAGCCCATCCATACCTACTCTCCGCAGCACCGATGGTACGGAGCACGACACCAACCGCAGCAAAGCAGAGTGCATGGCCGAACACTTCACCAACAAATGCAGTCTAGGGGCAGACGACCTATCCGCTCCATTTCCTTACGTCCGACCACGTACTGACCGCAACCTCTGCACCGTCCGGTTTCGCGAAACCACAGTCGAGCGAACTCTCCGCCAGCTCAACCCCACCAAGGCCACTGGTCCAGATGGGATACCTGCCCGCGTCTTGAAAGCTTGCTCTGCAGAATTGGCACGGCCGCTTTCAAAACTATTTACATGCTGTCTTCGCTCCGGTATCCAGCCACAACAGTGGAAGGTTGCAAACGTGGTTCCAGTCCACAAGCGCAAGTCTAAATCGTCGCCATCAAACTATCGACCAGTGTCGTTACTGAGCATCCTCTCCAAGGTCATGGAGACCATAGTCAACAGGGCAATGAGCAACTTCATGGAGACGAATCACGTCCTGTCAGAACGGCAATTTGGATTCCGTCGCGGCCACAGTGCAGCAGACCTGCTGACTGCTCTCCACCACCAGTGGGTGCACACCGCCGGAGATAAAGGAGCTTCTCGAGTGCTGGCCATCGACATTGCTGGAGCATTTGACCGGGTGTCTCACACTGGTGTGTTGCACAAGGCTAGAGTGTATGGCATCTTGGGAGACCTGCATCGGTGGCTCCAAGACTACCTCTGCAACCGCACACTTCAAGTCCTCATCTCCGGCCAGACATCAGCCAGACGCCCAGTTAAGGCTGGGGTGCCACAGGGCAGTATCCTGGGCCCCACCTTATTCTTGGTCTACGTCAACGACCTTGAAGACCACCTCCCAATCGGCTCCAACCTTGCCTCATTCGCCGATGACACAACCCTATACGCCGAAATTGCAACGCTCGCTGCTGTTCCTGACAACGCTAGAGTACTCCAGGCTGCTGTCGACCTAGTATCCAGTTGGGGCTCGGATTGGAAAGTGCAGTTCGAGCCAGCCAAATCTCAGGCCCTTACAATTTCCCACCATCGTCGGGACTGGCCAATACCCCCATTGTCTTCAATGGAACTCCTGTCGAGGAGCAGCCCTCCATCAAGGTACTCGGCGTCACGTTTGACCATCAGCTAAAATTCAGCCAGCATATCCGAACTGTTGTAGTCCGAGCAACGCAGAGACTTGGAGCCTTGCGCAAGGCATTTCACTTGCTGACTATTCCTGCCCGGCTTCGAGCCTACAAAGCCTTTGTCCGGCCGGTTATGGAGTACTGCCCAATCGTCTGGATGGGGGCAGCTTCTTCCCACTTGAATCGGCTGGACTGGGTGCAGGAGCGAGCCATCAAGGCAATACATCCGCAATGCTGGCTTCCTAGCCTCATAATTCGCCGCACCATCGCTGCCCTCTGCCTCCTGTATAAAGCCCTTTGCGATAATTCTCCCGCTCTTCTCTCGAGAATGGCTCCACCCCCGACACACCAACCCAGGACCACACGCCTCACCCGCCAGGCTGTACGACTGTCCACCGCGCATCCCCATCAGTTACAGAATGTTCTTCCTGCCAATTCCAGGAACAATGTGAGCCGAGCCTTTCCCCACTCCGTCATCCCAATTTGGAACCAGCTGCCTACCTCTATCATTCCCCACCCATTTCACCCAAAGAACATCCAAAAGTTCAAGACAGCAGCTTATCACCATCTCCTCAGAACGAACTGGCACTGGGCCACTCATAGCATACGCGAGTAAGAGGGTACATTGTCCTAGCCTGCTTGGACATACATGTAATCTCTCCTCACGGACAGTCTCCTCTTGAATTTAAAAGTCTAACAGCGTTCACATCAATACTCAACTCATTCTTTTGCTCACTGAGCAATACAATCTTTCCATTTTCTTTCTTCTGTTTTCTTTTTCAATTTAATCCTCCCTACCCAATATCCCTTTGGTGCGTCCATGGAGCTATGAAGCCGAGACCTCTGGTCGGCGGAGCTTAATGGGCCCCACCACCACACTCCATCATTCACCCCAGTGTCTGGAGATATGCAATGAGTGGATTTTGTAGAAAAAAAAAAAAAAAAATAGTGGATCGCTGACAGGCTGCTGAATGTCTCCTGTCAAGTAGTACACTCGTGGATTTGGGGCGCATTCACTGCGGCCCAGTACAGGTGTATTTGAATATTACTAGTTTGGTAAACTTTACATCAATATCAAATTCAAATAGTTGTATAGCAGGGAGCCGTTGCCTCCTTCTTGTCCTAGTTGAAGCGACCTTCGCTTGTACAAGTAGAGCTATCGTGGATCGCTGACAGGCTGCTGAATGTCTCCTGTCAAGTACACTCATGGATTTGGGGCACATTCACTGCGGCCCAGCACGGGTGTATTTGGATATTAGTTTAGTTTACATCAATATCAAATTCCAATAGTTTTATAGCAGGGTGTCGTTGCCTCCTCCATGATCCATCATCGACCCAGGGACTGAGTGGATGCCTGCAGTTTCAGTGAGGGTGTGGCAGAGTGCCAGAGTACTCTACTACTCCCTGGTTGCAGTCCTAGTGTTGCATACTCTGGTGGACGTATTGCTTGGAGAGAGAAGGAGAGAGTTGGAGATCGTCCGCGATCGGGGCCAATGAGTTGGGAGACGGATTCCCTCACCAATTATCCACTCATAACGATGCAGTATTGTTTGCGAGATCTCCAGAACGTACAGTTCATTGGCAAAGAAGAACACTTATGAAAACTGAATACCAAACGGCAACCAAACAACACCAGAACTCAGTGCAGAAGCAGTGTCTGCTCCAGCGCCGGGTGAGCCGGGTAATCCACCCGGTTGGGCGGCGCTTGGACCTGGTTGAAAATATAGTACCGGGTCACCTGTGACCCGGTTGGTACTTTGTGGCGTCTCCACTCAGTCACAGGACCCCGGCAATCAAATTTATTGTTTTCCACTGCTTTTCTCATTATATTTTATCGTTGCCTTATTTGCATTGCACGCCGTACTAACGAGTTGCCCAAAGTGTCAACCGCTGGTACTACTACGCATTTTACGGTAACGTTGTACCGTAGCGCATCATCCCTTTTACGGTTGCCATTTTCTTCTCTCCTCTTTTAGGGTTTTCTCTCTCGGTCCTAGTTTTTCCCTTTCAGTTACTCAAGAACTCCTTCCAGAATAACAATGCTTTTTCTCCTCTCGAATTTAGTGGTCTGAGGTCACGAAACCGTCTAAAACTCCCGGTTTGTTACCTCATTATCCCACATTGGTGACCCCGAATGAAGTAGCACATCCATCGCTAGCTCACCGCACACTCCTCGAGTTGACGCTCGGTGTGTTTCTTGTCTCAACGGTCCATTGGCATTGGTGTTGCAGTGTAACACGTACTCCTTACACAATGGATACTAGTCCCGGTGACGTTGATGCGTCCGCCCAGGCTGGTGTGGATAACACCAGTGGCAGTAGCAGTGGCAGTAGCAGTGGCAGTAGCAGTGGCGGCAGCAGTAGCAGCAGCAGTGGCAGCAATAGTGGCAGCAGTAGTAGCAGTAGCAGTGGCAGTGGCAGTGGCAGTGCCAATGGCAGTAGTAACAGTTCTGCAGCACCGGATACCGGTAGTACTTCACTCAGCAGACCCGTGGAGGTCAGTGCAGTCAGTATTAAGCTACCACCTTTCTGGCCTACGGACCCCAACCTCTGGTTCGCCCAGGTAGAGGCCCAGTTTGCCACTCGTGGCATATCTGCTGAGCTTACCAAGTTCAATTATGTAATCTCATCTTTATCGCAAGAGTATGCGCATGAGGTTCGCGACATTTTGTTGAGGCCACCAACTGTCGAGCCCTACACGCACCTCCGGGCGCAGTTGATAGCTCGCCTGAGTGCCAGTGCACAGAAGCGGATTCGCCAGCTTCTTACGGATGAGCAGTTGGGCGACCGCAAGCCGACACAGTTACTCTGGAGTATGCAACGCCTCCAGAGCGATACACCCCTGGACAGTGACTTACTACGGGAACTGTTTCTCCAACGGCTACCATCTAACGTACGGATGGTCCTTGCGTCTGCCAGAGATCTGCCATTAGAGCAGCAAGCTAAGTTGGCCGACAACATTATTGAGATGGCCACCCAACCACCCATCGCCGCTGTGCCCACAGGCTATCAGTCTATGCCAGTCACATGTGCTGTACAACCTGCTGGACACTCCACCACCGTGCAATCTCAAGACATCCAGTCCACTATTGCCACATTGGTCAGCCAGGTGTCGGAGCTGAGCGCTGCCGTTTCCCAGCTTTCACGTAGCCGTTCCAACTCTCTGTCCGAACCCCGTTCCCGTGCGCAGAGCTTCTCACGACGGGAATCTGGCCTGTGCTGGTATCATGCCAGATTTGGAGCTAAGGCCACCAAGTGTACATCCCCCTGCACCTACTCGTCGGGAAACGGATCCGCCAGCCACTGATGGCGACCGGTGGTTCTGGCAGGCTGATGTTCGTCCTCAACCGACTCTCGGGACAGCGTTTTCTGATTGACACTGGCGCTTCCGTGAGTTGTATTCCGCCCTCTGCTGAGGACCTGCAGCGCCCACTGGGCCCGCCTCTCCAGGCTGCAAACCAGACATCCATCCGGACTTATGGTGAGCGCTCTGTCACTCTCGACCTTGGTTTGCGCCGCCGTTTCCAATGGGTGTTCATCATTGCCAGTGTCTCGGTGCCAATCATCGGTATCGACTTCCTCAAACGCTTTGGGTTGTCCGTCAATGTGTTGGCCGAGTGTTTGTATGATGGCACCACCTCCCTCAACACCATTCTCTCCCGATCTAGCATCTCGTCTCTTGCACCGCTTTCTCTGCTGCCCACCCCTACCGCTTGTCCTTATGCTACACTGCTTGCCCGCTATCCGTCAGTTGTCGGCCCTTGCAATGCTGAGCTACCGGTCCGTCACTCTGTGGTCCATCACATTGTGACCCGTGGTCCCCCGGTACATGCTAAGGTTCGTCGGTTAGAGCCTGACCGTCTCACAGTCGCTAAGCAAGAGTTCGAACATATGTTGCAACTCGGCATTATCCGGCCCTCATCTAGCCCATGGTCTTCGGCTCTGCACATGGTGCCCAAGAGTTCTGGTGACTGGCGGCCCTGCGGGGACTATCGGGCTCTGAATGCTGCAACTATCCCTGATCGCTACCCGGTGCCACACCTGCATGACTTTGCAGCATCTCTGCATGGCAAGACCATATTCTCCAAGATTGATCTGAAGAAAGCCTATTACCAGATTCCCGTTGCTCCAGACGACATCCCGAAAACGGCCATCACGACGCCATTCGGGTCATTTGAGTTTCTTCGGATGCCTTTTGGCCTTCGAAACGCTGCCCAGACGTTCCAGCGCCTCATCGATGAAGCTCTCCGTGGACTCCCATTTGCCTATGCCTACATTGACGATGGTTTGGTGGCTAGTGAGACTGATGAAGAACATCAGCAGCACGTTGAGCAAGTGCTTCAGCGCCTCGCCGCTCACGGTTTGGTTGTCAATGTCGACAAGTGCGTTTTCGGTGTTTCTCGTCTTGAGTTCCTCGGCCACATCATCGACTCTGACGGCCTCCACCCTCGGCCAGAGAAAGTCCGCGATATCGCTGCATTCAAGGTCCCTCAAACCATGGCACAGCTCAAGCGTTTCTTGGGAATGGTAAACTTCTACCGCCGGTTTATTCCTCAGTGCGCTACCCTGCTGTTACCTTTGACCACTCTCCTCCAAGGCCGTCCGAAGGGCAAGTTGTCTCCTGTGGTGTTCGATGCCAACGCTATGCATGCATTTGCCGAGGCCAAGTCTGCTTTGGCTGCCACCACTCAGCTCCATCATCCACTGCCGGACGCAGAGCTCAGCCTCATGGTGGATGCCTCCGATCATGCCGTTGGTGCTGTATTACACCAAAGCGTGGGCAGCGATCCACAGCCCCTGGCCTACTTTTCCAAAGTCCTGAAGCCAGCGGAGACCCGCTACAGTACGTTCGGCCGGGAATTGTTAGGTATCTATTTGGCCATCAAGCATTTCCGGCACCAGCTAGAGGGTCGTGGTTTTCACGTATTCACTGACCACAAGCCACTCTGTTTCTCTTTCTCCCCAAATTCTTCAACCTACAGCCCGAGGGAATTACGTCATTTGGCCTTCATCTCTGAATTTACCACCGACATCCGACATGTCAGTGGTGCTGCCAACCCTGTTGCAGATGCATTATCTCGGCCCTCTGACGTCTGTACAGTGGTGCCTGCTATCGACCTTGCTACCCTCGCCAATGCTCAGCAATCTGACCTAGACTTGGTCAAGCTCCGATCTGCCCCATCTCCTGGCACTTCTATTCAATGGTCGTGTCGCTACGTCAGCCCTGATACGTATCTGCATGGTGACATCTCTACCGGTTCTTTCCGTCCGTATGTACCTGCATCTCTCCGTGAAGCTGTCTTCAACCATTTGCACAACCTTGCTCACCCTGGTACTCGCTCATCAGTACGTCTCCTCACTGATAGCTATTTCTGGCCTGGTATACGCAAGGATGTCCGCGACTTCACCCGCCGTTGCTTAGCTTGTCAGCAAGCCAAAGTTCACCGTCACACCAAATCTAGCCCTTCCCGGTTCTTGACTCCTGGCGAACGGTTCTCGGTCGTCCACATTGATCTCGTTGGCCCTCTACCATCATGCTCCGGTTGCACATACTTGCTTACGTGTATTGACCGCTACACTCGGTGGCCAGAGGCATTGCCAATACCGGACAGCAGGACTCCAACAGTTGCCCGGGCTTTCCTGTTGCATTGGATCGCCCGATTTGGTGTCCCTGTCACTATCATCAGCGACCGCGGTGCCCAGTTTGAATCGTCCCTCTGGCAAGAGCTCATGCAGCTTCTTGGGTCCACTCGCCAGCGTACTACATCCTATCATCCGGCTACCAACGGCCTAGTGGAGCGTTTTCACCGCCACCTCAAGAGTGCCCTGATGGCGCGCTCCGGCACCCAAGCCCCATCTGAGTGGTTCAATGACCTGCCCTTCGTCCTGCTTGGTATCCGTACCTCTGTCAAGTCTGACCTCGAGTGTTCTGTGGCAGAAATGGTTTACGGCTCTTCCCTACGTCTTCCAGGCCAATTCCTGGATGCGGCACCTCCGACCGCTCCCATGTCACCGGCCACATTAATCCAGCAGTTGCGTAGCGCTTTATCCACTCTTCGTCCCGTTCCAACCAGTCAGCGCAGCAATCCTGTGCCGGTCTTCGTACCAATGGAATTGTCTTCGGCCTCGCACGTCTTTATCCGTCGGGACAGTGTCCGCAAGTCGCTACAGTTGCCATACGATGGGCCGTTTCCTGTGCTGTCTCGCTCTGAGAAATACTTCACTGTTAAGGTCAATGGTCGCTCAGACACGGTCTCCATTGACCGCCTCAAGCCCGCATTTGTGTGATTTCCGCCTCATCGCTGGCGCTGAATTGCCTTGTTTTTTGTTGTTTTTTTTTGCGTTTGCCAGCTTTCGCGTGTTCTTTCCTGTTTCTTGGTTTTTTCACTATGTTTCCTCTTTTGTTTGTCCCGTTCACCGCTCAGTTTTTGCTGTATGACTTGTTCACTGGTGGGGGAGTAATGTGGCGTCTCCACTCAGTCACAGGACCCCGGCAATCAAATTTATTGTTTTCCACTGCTTTTCTCATTATATTTTATCGTTGCCTTATTTGCATTGCACGCCGTACTAACGAGTTGCCCAAAGTGTCAACCGCTGGTACTACTACGCATTTTACGGTAACGTTGTACCGTAGCGCATCATCCCTTTTACGGTTGCCATTTTCTTCTCTCCTCTTTTAGGGTTTTCTCTCTCGGTCCTAGTTTTTCCCTTTCAGTTACTCAAGAACTCCTTCCAGAATAACAATGCTTTTTCTCCTCTCGAATTTAGTGGTCTGAGGTCGCGAAACCGTCTAAAACTCCCGGTTTGTTACCTCATTATCCCACAACTTTACACTAGTCTTTCGAACTTTGAAAGGACTGACTACATGGCTTGTATGTATCAGATACTTCTTCTTTTTTCGTAATTTTCTAATTCCTGTCCTCTCTTTTCTAAATGCGGCTTATCCATTCGCCTTTATATCATTGGGCCTAGTTCCCGTTTATTGTCCGAATTAAAATAAACCAACCAACCAGTTAGAGCATGTGACTCGGCTGGTGAGACGGCGCCAGGTACATGTATACCCGGCTCTGACCCGGTTGAAATGGTTGCGCCAGGTACACGTGTACCCGGCTGTCCTACAATCGTAGAGCAGACACTGAGAAGTAGCACACCAAACTCCAAAGCCATCACCATGCAGGTTCCGCCAAAACGGATCCGCGAAAGTGGAGGCTCCGCTCGCATTTTTTTGGCGTAGCGAAATCCAAACTTTCCGCCAAAGCGTAACTAATTATTTATTACTTACGCCTCCGCCGTTGCCGCGGCAACGGCGGAAGCGTAAGTTTCGCTTTGGCGGAACCGCCAAAAAAAGTGCATGTGTGACCGGGTAGGCTGCATACTTGGCTTGACACGGCTGTTCAGATTCCGAAAAAGCGGCACCTACGTCATCCGCGCCTTTGCGGCTGGCGCAGCTAGGTTGCTCAAGAAAATTCAAAAATTCGAAATTGAATTGCATCGAAATTACCTTGAATACATGGCTTCTTCGATGGATATAGGACAAACCAAGCCTGCCTTCCAGGTGAATTCAGGTTTATAAAACTCCTTGAATGCAGTCGTCTTCATGTCCAAAATTTCGAAGCTTCACTCCTGATGAAAGTGCTCTTTTCCTCGACGAACGTTTCCTTCGTATTCTTCCTTTTCATAGCATCGTGCCTATTCCTGGGGATACTTTCAGCTAGCTTCTTGCCCAAGGTAAGGTTTTCTAGCGTCTTTTCCAAGTTTTTCCTGGTGCACGATCATACTACCTCTGCAACCCAATTGAGTTTTTTTCGTCGAGGGCCACTCATTCTCGTCGAGGGTCCCTCGTTGTCAGCCCCCATGGCAACCCACAATTCAGTGCTAGAGTCTCTGTGCAGGGTGTGTGGGTTCTTTATACCACCCTTTCGGAAAGACAAGAAGACGAGGACGACTACACATGCTGTGGCTGATCACGCAGATGAGCTCCTGCATTATTTCAACATCAACACAGCAACAGACACGCCAGACGTACATCCTGCAACATTTTGTGATTCATGCAGATCGTACTTGAGAAGGGCATCCTCCTCTTCTTCTAGTGACTTTAGAACACCAACTCTCTATCTGTGGCAGCCACATGGCAGTACCACTCCTGGCCCTTGTAAAGTGTGCTCAGGTGCTGAGGATAGGAGAAAAGGTGCAGGCCCAAGAAACCGTCGACGTCATGCTCAACGGCGTCTAGGGCTAATCCCACCCACTGCAGTCGAGACGCACTTCTAGAGCTTGCTTCCCCGGCCTTCTTTGCAGGGAATGAAG